AGTGACACCGCATGCATAAACTTGAGTATTACGTCTGCTAAAGGAAGACAGCAACCGAACTGAGGCATAATGTAGCCGATTTGCTCTGAAATTAGTACTACAGCCCTGCACGAGATTATCAATTGTAGCACCTGATTTCTCGAAAGCCAGAGGCTAGCTTTTTTTTGAATGTCATATCATACCACGTTTTCGTAGTAGATTTCTCCCCTCCCCTCCTTCTTCAAATGATAGTTTTATCTGAGATTATCTGCTTATGATTTAATACATGGAATTACGAAATATGAAATTTAAGATTGCCAAACTCTAAATAAAGGGTAGTTTTTAATAGAGACTCGTCGCATTAATGCAGCGAAAAAACCTTCCGTGAAGAAGAATGTACGCCCCTTAACTTCTAGAAATAAGAAAATGAAAGTAGTCACATTGATATTATCGCACTACATGTTCATCCATTAGCTGTCAAAAGATATGTAGAAGGGCCAATAATAAGATAGATTCTATGCCGTTTATTAAAGAAGTCAAATCACATCTTTAATCTGGCTCAAAGAGTTGTTCTCGAAGCGCTCCTTTATCACTTATACAAAATTGATTGCTCTTCATGGCATTCCAAAACAGGCTAACATATGGAAATAAGCTTTGCTTGGTATAAATAGAAATTCGTTTTATAAACTATCGAACGACTGAATCTTTGAAACTCTTCAAATGACGTAAGCGAATAATACAGTGTTAATACAAATTATAATAAAGGTGGAGAAGGTGCAAACGCATTCCGTCGGTTATACATCAACAAAAAGTCCTCCCCTTTTAGAGACTGTTTTAACATTGTTGGGTAAATTGTGTTGATGTCACTCTACACTTGCGTGCTGAATATCTTGGTCCGCAGTGAAGTTTCACTGCATTTTCCCAATAGTTGCATCGCGCAGCGGGTATAGCAATCTGTATCTTTCTTATTTTCTGGTCAATGCGAAAAATTTAAGCAGCATGTACCTGAGTGAACTTGTACATGAATAGTTATTATGTGTTAACAATCTGTGTCTGCTTGAAGAACGGCTCAATAGACTTTATCATATAAATGTAGCAAACTTACGATATAATATGCCCTAGAAGAAATGATATCAGGAGATTATTGAGGGGGAACACACGTATTCATACGTGATTCACATTTCCATCCTATTTCCTGAAGTCTTCAAATTCCTGGAGAGCGCAATGTGCTGATAGCGATCGCCTTATCTACACTTCTTCCTCAGATTCCGTTAGATTTCAAATACAGGCTGCCTTTCCGCTTTTCACTTCACTCTTTAACAGTTGTCTAATTTTTCTCATGTCATAATCACTGACTGCTAACGAATGTAGATGGTTTATAGTCTTCTTTTCTGTAATGTATAGACTGTGCAATGCTAGCCTTAACTATATTCCATATCTTCGCTACTTCATTTGAAGGAAATGTTCTCTGGAAATGTTTTTGAATATCTACAAAACATACTGATATTATTAACAAATTGGGGAGAAACATTTGACAGTATAAGTCAATCTAGATAACATCATATCTAAATGCCGAAATTAATGTCTGTTCTTCTATATAATGATGTAATTACAAGGTTACAGAGGTGCAACACTTTTAGAAGAAGCTAATGCATCAGCAAAACTTCCTGTCTACTTGATAGTATATTTCTGATTTTTAGACATTCTCAATGGCCAAAACATAGTTCCATATTTTTATCTGGCCGGGAATGTCATAATGGTCGATTAAAAAGACCGCGATAAGGAATTATTACTTCTCAAGATAATTTTAGCATAAGCATGTACTTTTAAGCAATTTCTTGTTTTCTAAATCGTCCTGTGAACCCAAGTACCGCTCGTAAACTTCTCGCACTGCCCGCTTTTTAGGCAACAAAACATTCAAACTGAAGTTCATTTTGCGGAAAAAGCAATACACGATGGCTGTCAAGCGAGGAGATATTGACAGGTACAGACTTTCGCACCTCCCACCCAGCTTCAAATAACGACTAATT